CTGTCCCCCTGATCTGCTGGGGGAGGGGGGTGCAGCTAGTGCCCCCCCCCCAGCAGACCAGGCTTTTCTTGCCTACCCCTGGGGTAGAGCAGCTGGGGGCTGCTGGGTTGGTCCTGCAGCGCTGCTCCGGACCAACCCGGCAGCACCCCAGCTGCTCTGCCCCAGGCTTCCTGGAATCAGCTGCTGATCAGTTTCAGCAGCAGCTCACTTGGGGACGCTTGGATTTCTTAAATTGAATCTGTATGTAAGTCAGAACTGGCATCCAGATTCAGCCGCGGTTGAAACTGATCAGTTTCAGCAGTGGCTGACGCCAGTTCCGACTTACATACAGATTCAACTTAAGAACAAACCTACAGTCCCTATCTTGTATGTAACCCGGGGACTGCCTGTATATGGTTGTCCCTGTCTCCACCCCTGCTGGGGTTATAGCAGTTCTAATCCCTATCTCTGGCACCTGGTGGTCATTCTGTAGTAGAACTCCCTTTCTACCAGACCCCATTATTCCTGACAACCAAAGCCAACCTTACTTTAAAGTTACGCTAAGAGGAAGCTGCATGCCAAGTGTGGTGGTCCTAGCTCTTACTGTTTAGGAGGCATTCTTGAGCAGTCAACTCATTTCTTCATTATCTAAGAATTGACAAGAACTCTTGCAACTGCTTAGAAGTTCCATGTCTGTCAGCATACTAAATAAATGAAGGGTCACAAGTTAGTACAAGCATGTAAAGAGTTTTGTGAAGTCACTTCAAACAGATCATGCAGGTGCCTAAGTAGTCAGTGACCACATACTTGCATGATTAGGAATTATAGCTGCACCAGGAAGTTCAATTAGGTGTTCTAAATATAAAAGCTAACGTTTTTCTGAATGATACTTCAGTGAAGGAGAGTGACTTCTATCCCCTGTTGAAAAGTTATTAACTTGATATACTTAGAAAAGCCAGGGTAACTTAACTCAATGACTACATTTGTTCCAGATGTTGGATTGTTGCACTGTTTGCAACAAAGTTCTGGCTTTAAAAAACAGGGGTGAGGAAGGGAACAATGTGGATCAGTAGGATTTGCAGAATTTCTTGAAGTTTTAAATCTGTTAAGTCTTACCAGTTGTGTCTTTATAAGATACCTGGAAAATTAAAACTAAAAAAAATACCAAAAAGATAGTTGTAGTTTAAGTTCTAGTATCTCTCCTTTTATAGTTTCATACAACTTCATATCTAGGTCGATAGCAGGTGGTGTATCATTCCAGCAGCCTGCATTCTTCTGTTGAGCCAGTTACTGTACCATGTCTACATCTTCCCAGGCACACTTGTGTGGCACAGATATTGTTTATGGCACAAACCAATTACAACATTCACATGATTTGTTGTTTTAAATGGCAGAAGGCTGCAACTTTGACTAAATCTTTATGAAGTTGTGGATATTCAGTAATTCCCACAGCTGAGACACTTTAGAGATTATAGTACTAGTTTGCTTCCCAAGCTTTCCTTTGTGTCCCTGGATTCGAACACGCCCTAAGAAATAATTTTATCTGCGTCATCAGAGGCCAGCCTATCCTAGGCTTCTGCTTCCCACACCAGGAGCTGCATTTGAATTATATCACCTACCAAAAGCCACTGGCCTATCATTTCCCTGACAGCTCCTGTCCACAAGTTCTTCATCAGCATATAAAGAGGCAAAAAAGGGAAGTGTTTTTTTAATCTGCATTATTGTACCCAAGGAATGTGGAACAACTCTGCCTACTTAGATACCGTGTCAAGTTTTAAACAGCAACCCCAGTTCTAGTTGTGTGGGTCATTTTTCAGTTTGCTTTTACTAGTTCTGAAATCACCCCTATGAGCCATGGTAATATTTTGGCCAAACAAAGTTTGCCACAGATATCTGTTTTAAGACTGAATGGCACTCAGATTAAACAGTTAGAATACTAAAACCGGAAGGGACTGGCACTCAGATTAAACAGTTAGAATACTAAAACCAGAAGGGACCAAGAGACCAAGTCCAGTCCCCTGCCTTCACTGCAAGGCCAAGCACCATCTATATCATCAGAGACAGAGACACAGACACAGAGAGAGATCTGTCCAACCTGCTCTTGAATATCTCCCTAGGCAATTTAGTCCAGTGTTTAACCATCCTGACAGTTTGGACATTAGGAAAAGTGTCCTACCTAAACCTCCCTTGCCATAGTTTAAGCCCATTGCTTCTTATCTTATCAGAGGCCAAGGAAAACAAATGCCCCTCCC